AAGTATTGAACTTCAAAATTGATTATGAATATACTGCCAAAAATTACTTAAAATCGAATCTCCAATTGAAATAAGTACTGCACATATTATTAGGAAGTAAGTTTAACACGATATATTTCTCAAATAACAGTTTTTTTTTAAAAAAAAAAAAAATTAAAACGTGTTTTGGGCGGGATTTCATGAAAATTTTTGAAAATATCAATTAATAGTAAAAACAATATTTTTAGGCTGGAATTTAAAGGTAAATGCTTCTTATTTTTATATATTAAATAGATAAATTTAAAAAGTTTCATTCATTTTACAATAAGGTGGATATTTTGTATAATATGATTCTATATATATTATCCAAGTATATAATTTTAAATAAAAGTGATCTTCAAGATTTTAATTTTGTTCGGGTCGGGCTAGACCGGACTCAAATTCGAAACTCGACTTAAAAGATAAAAACCGTTGATTTTTTTCAGGCCGGCCCGACTCGGCCTGCCGGGTCATATGTTCAAAATAGCCCACCCTGATCCAGCCCGGTTAAAATTCGGGTCGAGCCCAAAGGCCCCAGACAGTATATCGTGCGTAAATTACTTATTTCATGTGATTTTTTTTCTGTCGAATTTAGACTTATAATAATAATAGTAATAATAATAATAATAATAATAATATAATTCTACTTATTAAAAATTTCAATGATGATAAATCATAAAAGGAAGTAAATTAGATCATATACAATATAAACAAACATGTATATTCGGTACTTGCTTATTTGATTTATCATGTGTGAGACTTATTCCAAGTTGATAGCGTTCCCAAAATGAGCTCATGAAGGATTTTAATAATTATTGTTTAGTTTAGCTATCTCATATTCTTATTTCCCATTTTCTACTACTACACTTGAATAAGAATACATGAATTCGGGACTCGTGTAGAGATGTGTCGATCGCGTGAAGATCTCCGAGTCTCTTAGGGTGTGATTGGATATGAATTTTATTGATTTTTGGTTGATTTTCTTATTCATAGTTAATTTTAAAAAAGGCGGTATGTTTGGTTGTTAGTGAGAATTTAAGATTAAATTAAAATAGTATTTAAAATAAAATAATTAAAGTTGATTTGATATAAAAGTAGGAAAAAAAGATTGGAAGTGATGGTTAGTTAAAATTACGTGAGTATGATGAATAGTGAATTAAAGTTGATGTGATGCGTAAGAATGATTGATATTATTTAATTATATTGCAATATTGAGAATAGTGGGTGTTGGCTAACTNAAACAGTGAGATTCACAATCCTTTAGAACTGATAGACAAGCACGAGCTATACTGAGGCCCAGATTAAATTTTTTATTTTTATTGTTATATTATTCGTTCATATTAAAATCTTTAACTAATTTTTTCAACCATAAAAGGCCCTTTCCAGTTTGGCTCTAGCTTTACCACATGCTTAAGAGCATCGATTCTTCTCATGACCAGGTCAACTGCAAATGTAGGTACTGTTCTTGAGAAAATACATGGTAAATTCGTTCCCAGCACTGTAAGTGAAACTTCCTCTCCAAAGAAAACCTCTTTTGAAAATAAACCAAGGGCCAAATTTCAAAAGTATTCCTATAATTTGGCCAAATTCTAATTTTTCACTCTATCATTGACCACTTTTAAACTGAGTCCAATAATTTGACAATTTAATCAATTTTGGTCATTTTTTATTCGCACCCTGGATAAAAAAGTGATGTTACGTGACATGGTGCCCAGTAAGATCCATTTACGATTTTTAGTATGATGTGTCACCCTTAGTTTGGTCGACATGAACAACATTCACAAAAATTTCAGCATCTGACTCACAAGTAGCAGTGTAAACATACAAGTTTTTCCTTTTTTCAGCTTTGAAAATAATCAATGAACCTTTCATAATTTCATAATCCCTTTTATCTCATTTACCCTCTAACCCATCATTCTCAAGGGCAGCACATGATATCAAGTTATGGCACAAGTCGGGAACATGACGAACATTTTTCAAACAAAGCACATAACCAGAATTAAACTTAAGGCACACATCACCAATACCAGCAACATCACAAAGCTTTTCATTTGCCATAGAAACAGAGCCATTTTTAACCTCTTTGTAGTTTGAAAACAAATTTCTAAATGGATACATGTGAAAAATGCAACCGGAATCAACAAGCCATTCATTTTCACAAAGATAAGAATGCATAGAATTCACATCGGCATGCCTATCACATATTTCAGTCACCACAAACACATCACCAAGATTATCACTACACGAGGAAACATTAGCTTGATTCTTTTTGGATTTAGTGCACTCTTTAGCATAATGCCCAATGTCACCACAATTGTAACACTTACAATTTTTAGGACGGGATTTAGAACGGCTTTCTCATTTACCCTTTTTCCTTTAAGCAAGTTGGTTAACATTACTATTAGAAGGCTTTAGATTTTGAAATCTATTTTGGTGCTTACCTCTAACAAAATGAACCTCACCCGAATTTCTACTCCCCATATGAGCTTTTAAATCTAATTCTTTACTTTTTAACCCATTCACAACATTGTCTAGCGCCATATTGTCCCTACCATACTTAATAGCAGATGTTGTGAGTATTCTTACCGGAGTAAATTCGAAAGATTCGTTCCCCGAGTCGTATCGCAAGGAAGGTTAGCCGGATATAACTGTACGATTATTCAATCACGAAAAAGAGAAGACAAAGTCCTAAACACTCTAATTCAATAGTTTGGGTTTCAATTATCAACTAATGACCTTAAACTAAGTAAAATGAAATTTCAATAGCAACAAATTCAGTCAATGAATAAAGAGCTAGGGAATCGGGGATAATTGCTTTCGGTTCTAACACAATTACCGGGCAATCAATTGCTCAGTTAAAGGACTTGAATTGTTTCTCGTCCAGAAGTTCACTCTCAATAACTCTTCGTAACAAGAGAGTTAATGTAAACGATCAACTATCAATTCCAACAACACATAGACAATACTTTCCGAACAAGTCTATTCTAAACGAGCTTAAATCGATCAACGTCTCCCCTCTCGGTTCTACACATTGATTACCTAGGTTAGAATGATGATCAATCAACTAACCCTATAATTCACACAACTCGTATAGATATGAACAATCAAAAGCATGCAATCATAAACGAACCTAATCAATCATCCTCTATCCCTAGCGTAGGGATTTAGCTACTCATAACGAATTCAACATCACGATTCATATCAACCCAAGCCATCATCATCAATAAACAATTGAGAAAAAGAACTTACAATTAATATCAAAATTCCAATGTCAAATCCAAGTGCATCCAAATCCAAAGCGAGAAAAAAGAGTTTTTCAATCTCCAAATCGAATCAAAAGTGAAAAAGTAATGAAAGGAATGTGTTTGCTCGAGAGAAAAAACATAAAAACAGAGTCTGGAGTCGAATAATGTGCTCTAGGTCCAAAATCTGACTTAAAATCCCGCATCTCGATTATCGCATCGATAAGTCGTGAGTCCCGACTTCACTTTTTCCTCGGGTCGCGAGTCGCGCATCATCAATTTCTTCAAAATCTAGGGCAGGTCGCGACATCTCTCGCGAGTCGCGACTTCCATCTCGCAATTTGCGACTTCATCCCGCGAGTCGCAACTCGAACTCGCGGACTGCACCTTAAGCCTCTGAAAAACTCGCGGGTCGCGACATTGTCGCGAGTCACGAAAAATGCTGGGCTCCGTTTTCAGTCCTTCCTTCAGCCCTCTTTGTCGTCGTCTGGGCTCGGCATCGGGAATTCTCAATATCAGGGTCTCAACTCAAGCAGTCTAATCCTCAACCGGCACAACCTACCTCCTGAAAACATAAACACAAAAAAAAACACGAAGCAAAACACGGCAAAAAGACACAAAAATAGAAACTAAAGAGAAAAACACAAAACGAACGAAATGGACCAAATAAGCTACGAAAATCCTACAAATGAGAAAAAATAAAAAGAAAATAAACCTGAAATAAAGACACAAAATGGGACAAACAGCAGACTTGACATCACTATAAGAATCAGGAATAGCATTTAAACGCACAATACGAGTATAATCATCAATATGCTTATCACCGGTCAATTTAATGTCTTGAACAAGTTTAGTAAACACCTCAAGATTCTCATCAATATCTTTCGAAAGATCAAGTTTAAACTGGAAAATTTTTTCAAGCAAGAACAATTTACTCGACAACAAAGTTTCAATGTACAATTCTTCTAATTTTTCCCACAGATCTTTAGCCCTAGTTCACCAACTTTCCTAAGCACAGGGTCTGACAAATTCATGATAATTTACGAATAAGCAAATTGATCCATTTCAGCAACTTTATCTTTAGGCACATCGGGTGAAAACGAGCCTTCAACAGCTTTAAACACCCTTTGCTTTAAACACCCTTTGCTGAATTAAAATTCCTTTCGTTTTTTGTTGCCAAATTGAAAAGTCAGATTTCCCGTCAAACAAGACCAAATTAAAAGCCAGAAACGAAGCCATTTTCACATAAAACACAACAGTTTCTATTTAAAAACAACAACACAAATTTCAGCAATTAAAACACTCAGATTTCAGCCCAAATCAGATTTTTCAGCACTTAAACACAAAATTTTCAGCAAAATGCACAACAACTTGACACACAGTCACAGAAGAATTAATTTAACACCCAACAGCAAAAAAAATGAGGCACACAGACCCCAAAAAAACAGCGAAAAATAGCACCGAGCAAATTCACCAAAAAATTAGCACAAAACAGAAAACAAAAAATACGCAATTTAAATCTAGTACCAATGAGAATAACCACAGGCTCAGAACAACAAGGATAAGCACAGTTAACACATAATACATGCACATCTAACCTAGTGTTCTAGCAGCTAATTTCCCAACAAGCAATCCGCGACCAGGGGCTACAACTACGAAAGCGGTAAAAGTCGATTTCAAGCCAATTTACCAGAGCGAGTCCGACGTGTTAGGTGCTCGACATACCAGCGCGGTGGCGGGATGGCTCACGCTCTGATACCACTGTTGTGTGGTCGTCCCAACTCCACCGCTCTACTCATTGGCAGCGGAAGCTTCGGTTTCAACTCATCTAACAGCAATGCAAGCAGTCTCAAGCCCGACAAATGTGCTGCTCATGTCCAGTGGACTCCCGATCTGCTGTCCGAACTCCCAGGCTGATCTGAGCCCGCCTTTTTATCACCCGTTTTGAGCTTTTAACCAAAATTTCTGGCCAAATATTGAAGACACGAAGTCTCCCGGCTCAGATTGTCCTTGAACCCGGCACCCTCGATAAGTCACGGCTCGGTGGTGGTCAACGAACAGCGACCCCAGTTCCTCGGCCCGCTCCCCGGGCTGCACCTCTCACACACGCCACGCAACCGGTCACCTCATCACCTAAGCTCTCGTCTCACACAGAGACTCGCCTGGAAGCCCAAAGAGCTCTAGCCGGCGATTGGAGCTCAAAAACGGTGTGACGGCACAACGGCGGCTCTCACGGCAGTACTCACACTCAAAGGTCACGAAGAAGAGAGTGAGAGAACTTATTAGTGAGAGAGAGAGAGAGAGAGAGATCAGATTTCAACTTCTTGTTAATTTCTTTTTCCTTACTCTCCTTCTCCAAAGATGGAGCAGCAAAATCGGTAAAATTTCCAGGACGGCCCATTCACCGACCCAAAAAATAGTGAATACAAAGAAGAAGATCGAGACGTTATTATTAATTACCCGGAATCAACGATATGTGTTCCAACAGCTCCGGAAAGGAAGCATCAATGTAAGGAGTGCGAGAAGAGTTTCAACTCGGGCAAGGCTTTAGGCGGGCACATGAGCAGCGCCCATGTCTAGGCCAGCAAGGATTACTCTCTAAAAAAGCTCAAATTCAATATCACGGGCTCCAGCTCTCCAGGACCCGGCCTGCCCTATATGCGGAAAACAATTCCTCAACCAGAAGGAGTACATGAACTCAAAACATGATTAACTTTTACCAACATCATATTCAACATGATTTCTAAACTAATAAACTCATCTTAACTTACTTGGTATTAAAATCTCAACTTAATACTCATACAATACAACTTTTAATCATAACACTTAATTATGATATTAATATGTGAGATTTAAAATAATTTTTATAAAATTGCATACTCAACATATTAATCTAAAACTTTGTCAAATTGTTCATCACTTATATAAGAATATTTCATAATAATCTCACTTTAAAAACTTGAACATATAATGAATATCCTTGCATATAAACTCATCTTTACATATATGCCATCTAATTATCTTAACTCATTCATTTCTTAACTTTAAATCATGAAATTTAACAATCATTTTCTTAACTCATATTTAAACATGTCATAAAAATTTCATAATTTTAGCATGCATATTCATCAAGTTATTAGAATTTAAAGTCACCACTAAAATAGTGAACATAAAATTCAGCTTGCATGTTCAACTTCAAAACTCTACAACTCAAGCTATACTATGCCAAATAACTCAATTCTTGTTCTTATGTACTCTTCTTTTAAACAAGAATTACTCATGCAAATCATACTTTTCCAGCTTATTCTTATCTTTATCAAAATCTCATTCAAACAAGCACATATATATCATATAATTGATCTTGAAACAATTTTAACTCTTTGTATTCATATAATCAATTATGAACTCAACTTCTAAATCATGATATATATACTCATAAATATCTAAACTTATTATCAAAGCATGAACTTTAGTATAAAACTTTAAGATAAATAAATTACCTTCTTCTTGCAAGAATTCAAAACTTGATTCTTCACTTCCAAATTCTTCACTTCACCAAAATTTCTACTACTTATTCTCTCTTATAAACTTATCTAACAATTGGTAATTCTCTTTGGTATAAAAACTCTGAATTTTAGGCCTCTATTTATAGCCATAAATTGCAAGACATCATAATGGAGTGAAGAAATGAACAAAATAAACAAATTAAACTTATAAACATAATTAAGCATAAACTAGTTAATGACTAACTTGTATACTTCTCAAGTACATAGTTAATCCTCAAAAATGGCATCTGGTTGAGATCACAATCGGATTCTCAATAATCAGACCTTTCTGTCGGTCACACGACTCGTGTGGCATGTCACACGACTCGTGTGACCTCACACGACTAGTGTGGCTATGTCACACGACTAGTATGACTCCACACGACTCGTGTGGCTATGTCACACGACTCGTGTGCCTTGTCACACGACTCGTGTGAAAAAACCGAAGCTAACTTTCCCTTTTCTCTCCTTCCACACGACTCGTGTGCCTTGTCACACGACTCGTGTGGCTTCACACGACTCGTGTGGCTTGTTCCTTGAACAACTCTTAATTTCCAACTTATAACTGAATAACTTGGCCTCGAAATTAGTTCATCTTGGCACAATAACTGATACTTTACTGATAGGGATATTACATTTATGTTTTAATTATTGTCTATATGTCATTATAATAAATATTGTATGACACGAAAACGTTGAAACAAAAACCACGAACAGAAATGTATGATAATATTTATATTTTATTTCTTAAAACTATTTATTCCAATGATTTTGTTATGATTTTACTATTGTTTATAATTTTTATTATTTTTTTCTTTATTATATTGTTTTTGTAATTTTTCTTTTCTCTTTTTTTTTTGTTGATTTCTAAGTTAAAAATACTAAAAATAGAACCATACCCACATAAACAAGAAAACAGTGTTTTTGTAATTTTTTTTTTCTTCATTATGGTCCTATGTTGTTGATTTCTAAGTTACAAACACTAAAAATAAAACCACACCCACACAAGGAGTAGCAAGGATTCAAAGCTAAAGGACAATTTTTTCTCCCGAAAACCCTCTCCCCTCTCCCCGTCAAATCCCTCGACTCTCCCCTTCAATTCTCTCAGTTTTGCCTTCTCCAGCGTCGGCGTAGTTCGGGCCGGCGGTCACCTTTGACTGGTCGGCCCACCCCTTACGCATCGTTGTTCTGGATTAGCCACAGGGTCTGCGATTGTCTTCTAGCCGTCGATTGCGGAGGGATGGTCCGTCTGGAGGTTGGTGGTGTCGATCCTTGGATGCTGTTGGTCTCTGGCTGGTCTGGGTCGTCTTTTCTTCTTCGATTGTGAACCTTTGGTTATGCCCTAGGTCGCTGGCAGAGATGTGGGTTTTACGGGCGATTCGCTCGAAGGTCGGTCGGCGGTCGGTGGTTCCGCTGTCAAGGTACCGACGACCTTCGATTGATGTTGTTGTGGGGCTGGCGGTTGGCGATTGGACTTGTTCTTCATCGTTTTTTCTTTAGCTGTCGGTCGCTTGGGGGTTTGAGCTTCTGGGTTCGGGTCGCTAGAGCTTGGGTAGGGTCGTTTGTGCCTGTGGTGGTTCGGATAGTGCATGTGTTGGTGGGTGGGTTGTGACTTTTATGGCTTGTCTCGTTTAAGTTTAGGACTGGCAGCCCCTTCCCGGTTCTCTGGTGTTGGGTCCGGGTTTGAGTCGTCCAGGCTCGGCTAGTGGTGTTAGACGGGTTTGGACTGGTTTGGCTTGAGGGTTGCTTTGTTCCTATCGGTTGGAAGTGGGTCGATTCGGGTTTGAGGTCCGGGTTTGGCTTCTGTATAGGCGTTCGGCAGCAGTTTCAGTAGTTGGGCTAGGGCTTCGGATTCTATTGGAATCGATTGTTCTCCGTTGTATCGACTCGTCAGTCTGTTGGGGAAGGGCCCTCTTTTGTTTTGCTGTTTTTTGATGTAGTTTGTTCGAGTCTGTGTTAGGTGTGTTTGTTCGTTTTTGTTTGGGAGATGAATGCAGGCTAGGCATTGTGCAGTGGCTCTGTTTTTCATTTTCCTTTTTTTCGTTTTGTGGAGTTCTCTAGGCCGCCATGTGCGTGTCCTCTCAGTTTTCTATTTCTGTTGTTTATTAGGCGTGTTTTGGTTTGGGCTGTTGGCCCCTGTCTCATTACCCTGTTGGGGCCTTAGATATTACCTTGTTGGGGTCGTTGATTACCCTGTTGGAGTCTTGTAATTTGTTCCTTTCGCACTTTTGTGCTCTTTTATATTATCTCTATCGTTCCGAAGAAAAAAAAAAAAAAAAAAAAAAAAAAAA